GAACCTCATACTGCTTTCCACAGTGGCTGCACCAGTTTGCCTTCCCACCAACAGTGTAGGAGGGTTCCCTTTTCTCCACATCCTTGCCAACACTTTTATTTCTTGTCTTTTGAATGGTGGCCGTCCTAACTGGTGTGAGGTGATATCTCTTTGTGGTTTTGATTTGCATTTCCCTGATGACTAGCGATGTGGAGCATCTTTTCATGTGCCTGTTGTTCATCTGTATGTCTTCTTTGGAGAAGTGTCTGTCCAGGTCCTCTGCCCATTTTTTAAATTTGATTATTTGTTGTTTTGGTGTTGAGCTCTATGAATTCTTTATGTACTTTGGATGTTAGCCCTTTATTGGATATATTGTCCCATACTGTAGGTTGCCTTTTTTTTACTTGAAGTATAGTTGATCTACAATCTTATATTGGCTTCAAATATACAACACAGTGGTTCAAAAGTTACCCACATTATTAAATCCTCACCCCGACGAGTGAGGTTACCATCCGTCCACACAGGAAGATGTTACAACCTTTTTGTGCTACTGATGGTGTCCTTTGCTGTGCAGAAGTTGTCTAGTTTGATGTCGTCCCGCTTGTTCATTTTGCTTTTGTTTCTCTCACATGGGAGATGCGTCCAGATGTTTGCATTTGTGGCCGTGTGTTCTGGCAGCCACAGGAACCCTCACAGAACAGGTGGACAGGGCCTCAGAGCCAGGACATGCTCCCTGCTGCCTCAGTGACACAAATCAAGGGCTGTGTTATTGTTCAGGAAACGTGTGAGGGAAAATATGAACTAAAGAAAAAGTACAAAATTATAACATCACTCAGGTTATTTTAAGATTAAATAAACACAATTTCCTTGGGGAAATAGCACAAACAGGAGCCAGGAAGTGACCATGTGTCCAGCATCACCCCTGGCCCTGCAGGGATAAAAGGCCCCGGGCCCAGGAGGAGCCACACCTGAACTCCTCCCCCTCCCCCTGCTCCTCTGACCTACTCCACCCTCAACCCACCAGAACCATGGGCTGCTGTGGCTGCTCCAGAGGCTGTGGCTCCGGCTGCTGTGTGCCCGTCTGCTGCTGCAAGCCGGTGTGCTGCTGTGTGCCAGCCTGTTCCTGCTCCGGCTGTGGCAAAGGGGGCTATGGGTCCTGCGGGGGCTGCAAGGGGGGCTGTGTGTCCTGTGGGGGCTGCAAGGGGCGCTGTGTGTCCTCTGGGAGTTGCAAGGGGGGCTGTGGGTCCAAATTAAAAATGCACCTACACACAGAGATAAACTCACACACCCAAAGAACAGAGGGTGGCTGCTCGAGGCGAAATAAGGGAAGGGGACAAAGCGGTGCCAACACCTTGGCCGGCCCTCCCTCCCTCGCTCCGCCCTCTGCCCTTCCCTCCTTCCTCTCTCTCACCTACCACTCCGCATTTCCCCCAACCCCCAATTTCTATCCTCTGTTCCTATGAGTTGGATTTCTTTATTTTTCAGATTCCACACAGAATTGATACTCTGCAACATTTGTCTTCTCTGACTTATTTCACTGAGCATAGTCCCCCTCGGGTCCACCATGTTGGAATATATGCCAGAATTCCTTTCTTCTTTAAGTCTGAATAACATTCCATTGTTTATATGAATCACATTTTATCAATCAGTTCATCCGCGTGGGCCCTCAGGTTGTTACGTGTCTTGGCTGTTGTGAGCTGGGCAGCTGTGGACGCGGGAGCAGATGTCCATTCAGGACAGTGATTTTCTTTCTCTCAAGACGTAGACCCAGACGTGGGGTTGCTGGGTCACGTGGGGGCTCCCAGTTTTGGGGGGACCTCCCTCCTGCTTCCCACCGTGGCTCACCGGTTTCCATCTGCACCGGCACGAGGGCACCCTCTCCTCTGCATCCTCACCAGCGTTTGTTATCTCCGTCTTTTTTTTCATTGACATATAGTTGGCATACAATATTGTATTGGTGTCAGACGTACAACACAGTGATCGGACAATTCTCTCCTCGGCAGGAATTACTGTCTGTCATCATGCAGAGTCATTAAATAGTATTGACTATATTCCCAGGCTGTACCTCCATCCCCCTAATTCATTTCTTATTTGGAAGTTTGTAACTCTTCATCCCCTTCCCCTATGTCTCCCATCTCCCTGCCCCCACCCCTCCTCACGTCCCCTCTGGCAACCACCAGTTTGTTCTCCATGCTTATGAGTCTATTTCTATTTGTTTATGTGTTCATTTGTTTTGTTTTTCATTTTCCGTAGGTGAAATCATATGGTATTTGTCTTTCTCCACCTGGCTTATTTCACCAAGCGCAATACCGTCTGCATCCATCCATGTTGCTGCATATGGCAGGATTTCTTTCTTCTCATGGCTGACTAATATTCCATTCTGTATACGTCCACCTCTTCTTTTTCCATTTACCTACTGATGGACACTTAGGTTGCTTCCATGTCTTGGCTGCTGTAAATAATGTGTCAGTAAACATAGGGGTGCTTATGTCTTTTTGAATCAGGGATTTTGTTTTCTTCAGATAAATTCCCAGAAGTGGAATTGGTGGGTCGTATGGGATTACTGTTTTTAATTTTTTGAGGAACCTCATACTGCTTTCCACAGTGGCTGCACCAGTTTGCCTTCCCACCAACAGTGTAGGAGGGTTCCCTTTTCTCCACATCCTTGCCAACACTTTTATTTCTTGTCTTTTGAATGGTGGCCGTCCTAACTGGTGTGAGGTGATATCTCTTTGTGGTTTTGATTTGCATTTCCCTGATGACTAGCGATGTGGAGCATCTTTTCATGTGCCTGTTGTTCATCTGTATGTCTTCTTTGGAGAAGTGTCTGTCCAGGTCCTCTGCCCATTTTTTAAATTTGATTATTCGTTATTTTGGTGTTGAGCTCTATGAATTCTTTATGTACTTTGGATGTTAGCCCTTTATTGGATATATTGTCCCATACTGTAGGTTGCCTTTTTTTTACTTGAAGTATAGTTGATCTACAATCTTATATTGGCTTCAAATATACAACACAGTGGTTCAAAAGTTACCCACATTATTAAATCCTCACCCCGACGAGTGAGGTTACCATCCGTCCACACAGGAAGATGTTACAACCTTTTTGTGCTACTGATGGTGTCCTTTGCTGTGCAGAAGTTGTCTAGTTTGATGTCGTCCCGCTTGTTCATTTTGCTTTTGTTTCTCTCACATGGGAGATGCGTCCAGATGTTTGCATTTGTGGTCGTGTGTTCTGGCAGCCACAGGAACCCTCACAGAACAGGTGGACAGGGCCTCAGAGCCAGGACATGCTCCCTGCTGCCTCAGTGACACAAATCAAGGGCTGTGTTATTGTTCAGGAAACGTGTGAGGGAAAATATGAACTAAAGAAAAAGTACAAAATTATAACATCACTCAGGTTATTTTAAGATTAAATAAACACAATTTCCTTGGGGAAATAGCACAAACAGGAGCCAGGAAGTGACCATGTGTCCAGCATCACCCCTGGCCCTGCAGGGATAAAAGGCCCCGGGCCCAGGAGGAGCCACACCTGAACTCCTCCCCCTCCCCCTGCTCCTCTGACCTACTCCACCCTCAACCCACCAGAACCATGGGCTGCTGTGGCTGCTCCAGAGGCTGTGGCTCCGGCTGCTGTGTGCCCGTCTGCTGCTGCAAGCCGGTGTGCTGCTGTGTGCCAGCCTGTTCCTGCTCCGGCTGTGGCAAAGGGGGCTATGGGTCCTGCGGGGGCTGCAAGGGGGGCTGTGTGTCCTGTGGGGGCTGCAAGGGGCGCTGTG